ATTATTTTAATGAACAATTACAGAGATTTTGGATTTCCATTCATTCATTGTTGCACTTTTCTCCCTTCCCACTCCTCCCCCCGATTCGCTCCTCTCCTTGAAAAGTAAAAGAAAAATTCCTTCATTGGTACACAATCCCCCGTGCCCCTACCCCAACCCCCCTGACCCAGTACACTCCACTATACAACCTTGATTCCGGACTCTTGTGATAACCATAATACCCAATCATATATTGATTTTAAACTGTTCTCTCCCTTATCTGTTTCAAAGCAGTATACATAATTAATTCAATTTTTCTCAGTCTCATCCTAACCCTGATGTCTGTCCCGTCCTACAACAGTGGCACTATGCAGTATACCCATTCTGAATAATATTTCATGAATTCCTTGTTTTTCAATGCAGCATAGTATTCCATTGTGTGAATATACCACAGCTTCTCTATCCATTTGTTTGCTGATGGTCACATAGGTTGTTTCCTATTTGCTATTGTGAACAAAGCTGCAATAAACATGGGTGTGCATATATCTGCCTTAGTGACAGTTACGGTTTCTTTAGGGTATATTCCCAGTAGAGTAACTGCTGGGTCAAATGGTATTTTTATTTGCAACTTTTTGAGAAAGTGCCACACTGACTTTCACAGTGGTGGCACCATTTTACACTCCCACCAACAGTGAATAAGGGTTCCAATTTCCCCGTAACCTCACCAGATTTGCTGTTGGCTGTTCTGTTAAATTTTGCTATTCTTACTGGGGTGAGATGGTATTTCATAGTTGTTTTGATTTGCATTTCCGTTAGAGCTAGGGATTTTGAACATTTCTTCATGTATCTGTTGGCCATCTGAATGTCTTCTTTGGTTAAGTGTCTGTTCGTATCCTGTGCTCATTTTTCAATTGGGTTATTTACCTTTATCTTGTTGTAGTGCTGGAATATTTTATAAATTGTAGATTTAAGTCCCTTAACTGACATGTCATTACCAAATACTTTTTGCCAGTCTGTGGCTTCCCTTCTTACCCTGGTGAAGAAGTTTTTAGAGCATAGGGATTTAATTCTTAGAAGGTCCCATTCATCTCTTTTATCCTCTCCAGGCTGTAGATTTTTCAGGATGCTTGGAAGACTGCTTATGTTTGTGGATTAGAAGTTCTAGAGTTCTTCCAAGCTTTTCTTTAATGAAGTTTATAGTCCTTAGTTTTAGTTCTAGGTCCATGAAAAATTTTGAGTTCGTTTTTGTGTATGGGGTGAGGTGTGGATATTGTTTTTCTACAGGTAGTTTTCCAATTTTGCCAGCACCATTTGTTGAAAAGGTTGTCATTTCCCCCCTTAACTGATTTCATGTCTTTGTAAAAAATAAATTGACCATAGGTAGATGGGCTGATTTCTGGATTTTCTATTCTATTCCATTGATCTGTGTGTCTCTCATTATGCCAGTATCACGCTGGTATTTGAGCACCACAGCAGTGTAGTAGAATTTGAAATCAGGGAGTGAGATTCCTCCTACCTTATTTCTCTTTTTAAGGAGTGCTTTGCTTATTCCCGGCCTCTTTACATTCCAAATAAATTTGGAAATTGCCTTTTCCATCTCATTGAAGAATGGAATTGGTATTTGTATTGGATTGCACTGAATGTGTAAAATGCCTTTGGTAGTATTGTCATTTTCACAATATTGAGTCTTCCTATCCATGAGTAAGGGATATTCTTCCACTTCTCCAGGTCTCCTTTTGTTTCCTGAAGCAATGTTTTGAAATTTGCTTTGAATAGATCCTTTGTATGAAGCTGTTAACAATCTTAATCTCTTCACCATCCATTATGATGCTGCTGATTTCCCAGTGGTGAGAATCTTTGTTGTTTGGGGTTTTTTTTAGTGTGTTGTTTGTTTGTTTGTTTTATGTTGAGCTTTAATCCATATTGAAGGTTGCAGTCCTTGACCTTCTGCAGCAAGTGCTTCAGGTCCTCCTTAGTTTCAGCAAGCAAGGTTGTGTCTTCTGCACAATGCAGATTGTTGATGAGTCTTTCTCCAATCTTGATGCCACATTTCTCCTCATAGAGTCCAGCCTCCAGGATAATCTGTTCTGCATATAGATTGAAAAGGTATGGAGATAGGACAAATCCCTGACATACATCCTTCCCAATTTTGAACCATGCAGTGCTTCCTTGCTCTGTTCTGATGACTGTATACTGGTTCTAATATAGGGTTCACATAAGCATGATCAAGTGTTCTGAGATTCCCATTCTTCTCAGAGTTAGACACAGTTTTTTGTGGTCCACATTTCCTAGTCCGTCTTAATTTGGATGCTTAGCTTTGGAACCATATTTGACAGACAAGCATTTTAACAAAAGGAGCAAATGAAAAGACCCTTTCCTTTTACAGAGATAAGCATACATGCACTGAATGTATGTCTTACCCCTTCCCTTTCTCTAAATGTTAGCATCATTTGCACTCCCTCCTAACCCATCTAGCACCACCCTCCCCTCCAGCAACCCTATGATATTATGGCTTAGCTCCAGCAACCCTATGATATGACGGCTTAGCTCACAAGTGATTTCTTGATGTCTTGAACCTCACAGTGTTGCTGGTCTCTCATATTGATTAATTAACATAGCAAACTCATTAACTTAGAAACAAAAAGGATAGAATTATCAACAACTAAGCAATCTAACTCCTTCACAGAGCCTATCCCAGACCCCACACAGAACCTTTGCCACAGAAACCTAACTAAGACAGAATATCAGCTTGGAGAGGTCAGCAAAGATGAGGGAGGAAAGACAAATAGATCAGATGGAAAAGAAAAAATAATCGCTCAATCCCCATTTGAGATACTATTCAGGAGTCGGGGAAGGCCAAGTGCGGAGTTCCTCTTGAAACTTGGTTCCAGTTCTAATTCATACATTTGTTCACAATTTAAAAAAAGGGGGGGGGAAAGAAACAAGACACTGAATAAAAAAAAACCCCTATATCATGTTATTGCACTTCACAGACATTCAGATTGAGACATAAATTCTGCCATACAATAAACAATTTTCAAGAAAGAAATTACTCACAAGCTTACAGAATCACCGTATTTGTCTTAGAAATTAGAGTCCATGTATCTACACACAAGTATTCTGAAGACATTTCTTAAGATTTAAATCATACTCATTTTCACATTCAATCCAAAATAATCTTACTAAAAAAAGGAATATATATATATAAAACCACTGCTTATCTCTTTGTCTAGGAAGGGAGGAAAACCCAACTAAATCTTTAACAATTGTATGTGGGAAATTAGGAAGAGAATTTGGAAGGATAATTTGAGTCATTGAATGACAGACAGCTAAAAACACTGCTACTTCTCTGTATGATATTTTGCTCAATAAACAAAATGTTCACAATGACTTGAACATGTGAGTTTTCATGTCTCCAGCCTGGCTGCATACCTGCAGCATCACCTGGGCACCAGCTTTCACATTCTTACTTTCCTCTTCTATTACACAACCTCTGTTCACAGCACTTGTGAATGAGTATGTTCGTCCCCAACTGGAAGATCGCTTATGACTGGAGCTTTCAGATGAGGCCTATAAAAAATAATAATCAGTTAGTACAATAGGATGAAATACAAGTTCATATATTTAATTCATAGAATTAGATATGCTGAATTAAAGACAACACAGATTCTCAAAGAGTAAGCCTTCTTTTGCTTTTTCATCATCACTTATCTTCAGTACATAAAAAAAAAATGTGTGCCCACTGGCTGAAAGTGCATGTAACAGAATCTTTTTTTGTTTATTTTAGTTTTATTCAATTTTTTTAACTTAAATTTTTATTATATATAGATTTAGCTAAAAAGTTCATGATGATATGATAGCACAATTAAAAAACCATAATGACTCAGCAAGAAAACTATTGGACACAGTGGACCAATTCAGCAAAGTAGCAGGATGCAAGAGCAACATATAAAAATCAGTTGGATTTCTCTACAGTGACAAAGCGAATACAAAACAGGAGCTAAGAAAAGTAATACCATTCACAATATCTAATCACCAGAGTAAATACTTGGGAGTAAATCTAACCAGAAGAAGAAAGGATCTATTAAAAGAAAATTACAAAACATTACTACAAGAAACAAAAAGAGACCTGGAAAAGTGGAAGAATATCTCTTGCTCATGGATAGGAAGATTCAATATTGTGAAAATAGCAATACTACCAAAGGCAATTTACACATTCAGTGCAATTCCAATACAAATAACAATCTCATTCTTCAACGAGATGGAAAAGGCAATCTCCAGTTTCATTTGGAATGGAAAGAAGCCCCAAATTAACAAAGCACTCCTTAAAAATAGAAGAAAGGTAGAAGGCATCTCACTCCCTGATTCCAAATCCTACTACACAGCTGTGGTGGTTAAGACAGCATGGTACTGGTACAATGACAGACACATAGATTAATGGAATAGAATTGAGAACCCAGAGATCAGCCCATCTACCTATGGTCAACTGATTTTTGACAAGGAGATGAAATCAGTTAAGTCGGGAAACGACAGCCTTTCAAACAAATGGGGTTGGCAAAATTGGAAAAGTATCTGCAGAAGAGTCAAGCAAGACCCCCACCTCACTCCAGACACAAAAACCAACTCAAGGTGGATCATGGACCTAGGACTAAAACCAAGGACTATAAACGTCATTAAAGAAAAGCTTGGAAGAACACTAGAAGTCCTAATGCACAACATAAATAGTCTTCTAAGTATCCTGAAAAACCTACAACCAGGAGACGATAAAATAGATAAATGGTATCTTCTAAGAATCAAATCCCTACGCACATCCAAAAACTTCTCCAACAGGGTAAAAAGGGAAGTCACCAACTGGGAAAAAGTATTTGGTAATGACATAACAGATAAGGGACTTATATTCAGAATTTAAAAAATACTCAAGCACCACAACAAGATAAAGGTAAATAATCCAATAGAAAAATGGGCACAGGATATGAACAGACACTACACCGAAGAAGACATTCAGATAGCTAAAAAGCACATGAAGAAATGTTCAAAATTCCTATCTCTAAGAGAGATGCAAATCAAAACAACTATGAGATACCATCTCACCCCATTCTGAATTGCAGAATTTAACAGAACAGCAAGCAACAAATGCTGGCAAGGTTGTGGAGAAACTGGAACCCTTATTCACTGTTTGTGGAAGTGTAAAATGGTGCAACCAATCTGGGATGGTGCTTTCTCAAAAATTTGCAAATAGAGATACCATTTGACCCAGAAATTCCACTACTGGGAATACACCCCAAAGAGACCATAACGGACATCCAAGCAGATATACTCACACCCATGTTTATTGCAGCTTTGTTCACAATAGCACAGAGTTCGAAACAACCTAAGTGCCCATCAACAAATGAATGGATAGAGAAGCCGTAGTATAGTTACACAAGGGAATACTATGCTTCATTAAAAAAACACACACCAAAAAAAAACCAAAAACAAGGAACTCATGCAATATTGTTCAAAATGGGTTACCCTGGAGGACACTATGCTGAGTGAAGTATCTCAGTCACAAAAGGACAAATACTCCATGGTGCCACTGTTGTAAAGCAGGCCTGACCTCAGGGTTGGGGGGAGAATGAGAAGGATGGGTTCAATAATGTATACTGCACTGAAACAGATGATGGAGAAAACGGTTTAAGAGGTAAAATTATTAGGTATTTTTGTCATGAAAGGAGTCCAGAGTAAAGGTTGTATAGTGGAGTGGACCTAGGGGGAGGGATTGTAAAACAATGAAAGAATTTTTCTTTTACTTTTTCAAGAGTATAGTGTACTAGCAGGGAGGGTTGGGAGGGAGAAAAGTGCAACAATGAAGTGGAAATCGAAAATCTCTGTAAATTTTCATTGAAATTAACAATAAATTAAGAAGTAATCCTAATTTAAAAAAACAAAGAAAAAAAAAAGTTCATACACATTGTTTTTCCAAACTATTTTCCCATTTCCCTTAGCCACCTCTCCCTCTATCCATTAAATTGTGCAACCCCATGATTACCCCCCTACTCATTCTCACCATTCACTTCAAATTGATTTCTGTACAAAATGAATTTCAGATTCCATTTGACCTAACAACTAGTTATTAAAGTGGTATCATCAATACTAAAAAAATTCAAATTATGCTATTAACAGATATTTCAAAGTATATATACCTTTGTTACAAATATTTTATTAATGTTTTATTATGTCATTGTTTTTGTTGATTTCCTTCGAATCGAGCATGATTCATAGCGACCCCAAGAACAAAAGGACTGAAGCCCCTCTACAATCATTGACATATATCAAAGTTCATAGGGTTTCCGGAAGCATGTTATTTTGGAAGTGGATGCCACTTCTGCTTCCAATATATATCAAAACATTTCATTATATTAATGCTTTCTGTTACTTGGTATGACAAATACCACTTTTTAAAATAATTTATCAGGGCCTCGGCCCCACCCCCGGCGGCCGAGGTGAGGGCTCTCGCTCGGCCCACGGGCCTGCTGGCCATGGCGACGGGCGCCACAGCCAGGCCTGCGCTGCGCTGATTCAGGACGCTGGTGGAGCCGCTGAGTGCAGCGCAGCTGTGGCAGCTGGAAGAGCACCGCTACAATGCGGCCAGCGCGTTGCTGCTTGAGCCGCCGCTGCAGCTCTAGATGGCCCCCAACACCATCACCCTCCGCGCCTCGCCGTTAACGTGCTCACCACCTACTGCCCCACGGCCACCGAGAAGGCACCTTACTGGACATACCTTCTTTGTGCCCTGGGACTCTTTATCTACCAGTCGCTAGATGCCATTGATGGGAAACAAGCCCGAAGAACAAATTCTTGTTCTCCTTTAGGGGAACTCTTTGATCATGGATGTGACTCCCTTTCCACAGTGTTTATGGCCATCGGAGCGTCAGTTGCTGTCCGCTTGGGAACTTGTCCTGACTGGCTGTTTTTTTGCTCATTTATTGGATACTGTGCTCACTGGCAGACTTAGTTTCAGGTGTGTTGAGGTTTGGAAAAGTGGATGTAACAGAAATTCAGGTAGCTTTAATAATCATCTTTATGTTGTCTACATTTGGAGGAGCAACAATGTGGGACTTACGATACCCATTATAGAACTGAAATGGAAGATCTTTCCGGTTCTTGGAGTAGTGGGTGGAGCAATATTTTCTTGTTCAAATTATTTCCATGTTATCCTCCATGGTGGTGTTGGCAAGAATGGACCTACTATAGCAGGCACTAGCGTCTTGTCACCTGGACTCCACATAGGACTAATTATCATACTGGCAGTAATGATCTATAAAAAGTCTGCAACTAATGTTTTAGAAAAACATCCTTGTCTTTATACCCTAATGTTTGGATGTGTTTTTGCTAAAGTAGCACAAAAACTGGTGATTGCTCACATGACCAAAAGTGAACTGTACCTTCAAGATACTGTGTTTATTGGGGCAGGTCTTTTATTCTTAGACCAGTACTTTAGTAATTTTGTAGATGAATATATTGTCCTACGAATAGCAATGGTCATTGCTTCATTTGATATGACGATATACTTTAGTGCTTTGTGCCTGCAAATTTCAAGACACCTTCATATAAATATCTTCAAGACTACATGTCATCAAGCACCTGAACAGGTTCACAAACATACTGACTGACTAATATTCCAAAGAGAAGAAAAGAAGCAGTTGGGGAATCTATGAGTGAAGGAAATCCCCCCTTTGCAGGCAGCTAGTACACTACCAAATAAGGATATAGGTGAACATAAAGCATAAGGACTAGTCTCTTAGTTATGAATCCCTCTTTGAATACCAAGTTTTGATCACAGGTTCAAGTTCTTTCTCCAAAGAGTCATCAGATTAACATGGATTAAAGAGACTTTCAAACACTTGCCATCTCTTGCTGCTGCTGTTATATGAAAAAAGATATGAAACATTTAATACTTAGTTAAGTGTTATACATATTTCAACACCTAAAAAAATTATCAGACTAGATTTTAAAACTGCATGCTGTTGTTGTTATGTGCTGTCGAATCGCTTACAACTCATAGCGACCCTATATACAACTGCTCTAAACTCTGCTCTGTCCTGGGCCAATCTCATAGTCTCTGACACACTCATCTCAATTGCCCCAGTAACCGAATCAATTCAACTCATAGAGGGCCTTCCCCTCCTGCACCTGCCCTCCACCCTCCCAAGCATGATATCCTTCTCCAAGGACCTCCTTAAAACATGACCAAAGTATGTCAGACAAAGTTTCAGAATCCTTGCCTCCAAGGAGCAGCCCAGCTTAACCCTCTCCAAGGTGAATCTGTTTGTTTTTTTAGCAGTTCATGGTACCCTCAACACTCTTCTCCAACACCAAAGCTCAAAAGCATCAATTCTCCTTCTATCCTCCCTGATCATTGTCCAGCACTCTGACTCATAACAAGGGATTGCAAAGACCATGGCCTGCACCAGACGCACCTTAGTCTCAAGAGACACACTGTTGCTTTTCAGTACTTTAGAGAGGTCCCTAACAGCAGACTTCCCATTGCAATATGTCTTTTCATTTCCTGGCTGCTGGCGCCAAGAGTGTTGATTGTAGAGCCAAGGAGACTAAAGCTGCTAACAATCTCAATCTCTTCACCATCCATCCTGATGCTGCCAATTGGCCCAGTGGTGAAAATTATTGTCTTCTTGACATTGAGCCTCGATCCATATTAAAGGGTGGAGTCCCTGACCCTCAGCAGCAAGCGCTTCAGGTCCTCCTCAGTTTCAGCAAGCAGGATTGTGTCATCTGCATAACGCAGATTATTGACAGATCTTCCACCAATCCTGATGCCGCATTTCTCCTCATAGAGCCCAGCCTCCCGGATAATCTGTTAGGCATACAGGTTGAAAAGGTATAGAGACAGGACATATCCCTGGCGTACGCCCTTCCCTATTTTGAACCATGCAGTATTTCCTTGCTCTATTCTGACGATTGCTTCTTGGTTCAAGTAAAAGTTTTGCATTAGCATGATCAATTTTTCTGGGATTCCCATTCTTCTCAGAGTCAGCCACATTTTGTTGTGATCCACACAGTCAAATGCCTTTCCATAATCAATGCAGCACAGATAGGCATTCCTCTGGTACTCCCTGCTTTCAGCCAAAATCTTCTAATATTAGCTACAAAATCCCTAGTACCATGATCCCTTCTAAACCCAGTCTGGACTTCTGGCAGTTTTCTGCTGATGTGCTGTTCCAGGCTTTGGATAATCTTCAGCAGAATCTTGCTTGCATGTCAAATCAACAACATTGTTCTATAGTTTCCACACTCAGCTGGGTCACCTTTCTTTGGAATGGGAACAAATATAGATCTCTTCGAGTCAGCTGGTCAAGTGGTTGTTCTCCAGATTTCTTGACACAACTTGGTGAACACGTCCAGGGCAGCATCTGTTAGCTGAAATATGTCAACTGATATACCATCTATTCCTGGGGCCTTATTTTTTTGCTATTTCCTTCAAAGCAGTGTGAACTGTTGTTTCATTAAATTCTTCTGTGTCTTCCAATTCCTTTCTATACAATGACTCAGTACATTCTATCCATCTTCTTCTGGTACTTCCTGGATCCTTTAATACTCTGCCTAAAGTATCCTTGATTACAGCAACTCGAGGTTGAATTTGTTCTTCAGTTCCTTGAGCTTAAGAAATGCTGAGCGAGTTCGACCCTTTTGGTTTTCTGACTCCAGATCCTTGCACATTTCATTGTAATATTTTACTTTGTCATCCCAGTTCTCTAAATGTTAGGAACATCTTATAAGCATGGGAGAAGCTAAAGTAAAAGGCCACTGGGAGAAGGGCAAAGTTAGAGAAGTGACAACTACAGAATATCATGAAGAGGGCATGTTGTTGTTAGGTGCTGGCAAGTTAACTCTTGATTCATACAGGCCCAATGTAAAACAGATTAAAACTTTGCTTTTGTCATCCCGTGCTGCCTTTGGAAATCTCTCTTCAGCTCTTTAGTATCTTGAATTCTTCCTTGTGCTTGGTCTTCTCTGCGCTCCAGTGCAATCTTCAGAGTTTCTTCTGACATCCATTTTGGTCTTTTCTTCCTCTTCTGTCTTTGTAGTGAACGTTTGCACTCTTCTTGGATGATACCCTTGATATTCTTCCACAACTCATCTGGTCTTCGCTCATTCGTATTCAAGGCCTCAAACGTGTTCTTGAGACGGTCCTGAAATTCAGGTGGGATAGACTTAAAGTTATATTTTGGTTCCCGTGGATTCGGTTTAATTTTCCTCAGCTTCAGCTTGAACTTGCATATGAGAAGTTGGTGGTCTGTTCCACAATTGGTTCCGGGCCTAGTTTTCACAGCTGATATTGAGCTTCTCCAGCAATTCCTTTCGCAGATGTAATCCACCTGATTCCTACATATACCATCAGGTGAGATCCATGTGTATAACCTGCATTTATGTCTCTTAAGAAATGTATTTGTGATAAGTCACTGTGCAAAATTCAATCATTCTATCTCCAGCTCCATTTCTGTCTCTGAGTCCTTATTTTCCGACTACTGATTCTTCTCTGTTCCCCGCTTTTGCATTCCAGTCACCCATTATTATCAATGCATCTTGATTGCATGTTTGATCGATCTCCGACTGTAAAAGTTGGTAGAAATCTTGTTCCTTGTTCATATTTAAAGGCAATCCAGAAAGATAAAGCTCTTTCCTTTTATTTAAAATCACACACATACACACACAAACCAGTTTTATGGGTTTTTATGCAATAAGCTCCTTCCCTTTTTCCCAAGCGGGACTGTGAAATTGCCTGTCTACATCTTGAACAATAATACAGGAATACCAGACACCAATTTAGTAAAAGCTAAGTATTAAGTATATGAACAAGCAAGAGGTGGATGACTTGTTCCCAGAACCCTCCTCTGGTGCTGTGGATGGGTCATCCTCATTTGATTCCTAAATTGAGGAAGGAGGTATGCATAGCACTTTGATTTGTCTGCTATGGAAGGGAAAGGATCTTACTGACAGTTGCATGTTCACTTTGTTTTTCATTGTCATCACTTGGTGTGTAGTCAAAATTGACTTAATAGTTGATCCTCTACTGGATTTTCAGAGGCAGTAAAGAGCATGGGAAGAGATTGCCCATCTTTCTCCTGCAGAGAGGGATTTGAGCCTTGTGCCCTTGGGTTGTCAGTGAAAGTCCTTACCACATGGGAGAAATCGCCATTTTCGATAAGGCCAAGCTGAAGAAGAACGAGACACAGGAGAAGAATACCCTGCCGACCAAAGAGAACATCGAGCAGGAGAAGTGGAGTGAGATGTCCTAGGATCCTGCAGTGGTCTCCGCCCGCGTCATGTGCGACACCCTAGTCGTGATGTGGAGGAAGAGCCACCTGCAGGATGGGCACGAGCGATGAGCTGCACTGTGAACCCGGGCACTCCGCATCCTGCCACCGGCCTGCGGGTATCAGAAGGGACCACCGAACTGAAGTCTCCGGTTTGCCCTGGGCTATTCTAGAAAATTATTTGTATGATTAATGAAAATAAAACCCACCTCATGGCAAAAAAAAAAAAACCCAACCAGGACTGACACAGGTGTTGGGAGGAGACTGAGAAAGATGGGATAAATTATGTATACTGCATTGAAACAGGTGAGAGAGAGTACTGTTTAAAAGGGATATTGTTGTTGTTGTTATGTGCCATCAGGTTGCTTGTGACTCATAGCAACCCTATGTACAATGGCCCTAAACTCCGCCCTGTCCTGTGCCAATCGCCCCATCTCCGATACACCTATTCCAATTTCCCCAGTCACTGAATCAATCCACCTCATAGAGGGCCTTCCCCTCCTGCGCTGTCCCTCCACCCTACCAAGCATGATGTCCCTCCTTACAACATGTCCAAATTATGTTAGACGGTGCCTCAGAATCCTTGCCTCCAAGGAGCCACCCAGTTTGACCCTTTGCAGGATGAATCTGTTTGTTTTCCTAGCAGTCCATGGTACCTTCTATCCCCCTTAGTCATTGTCCTGCTCTCTAATGCATAACAAGTGATATGATTAGGAATTATTACCATGACAGGAGTCCAGAACAAAGGCTGCATAGTGGCGTGGGCTTGCGGGGAGGGACTGTATAACAATGAAAGAATTTTTCTTTTACTTTTCAAAGAGAAGAGAGAACTGGGGGTGGGGGGGGTGGCAGGAAGAAAAGTACAACAATGAATAAACGGATATCTAAAGGCTCTGTAAACTTTCATTAAAATGAATAATAAAAGGGAAAAAAAAGAATCATCTATCACTGATAATTACTAACAAAGAAGTGCATAGTGGCCCTAGCCTGACAGTTTTGAGATAGTGCTCTCAAATTAAAGAGTAGTAGTAGTAGCCTCACTGAGGCAGGTCCTCACAGAACTGAGCAACTTAAGAGCAGCAGGAAGGATTTAAAAATAAAATAGTCTGCCTATGTCCAGCTCATTGTGATCCTCGATTACTAAGATATACTTGTTCTTTAAATTCAAATGGCAAATGATAAAATATTACCTCCTTGCTATCAGTCTCTGAACAGCCTACGTTCTCAGCATTTTCTTGCGCAGTATCTTTTTTATCTGGCTCCTCCATAAACACAGGTTTGTCTTGCAGGATCCACTTCCTATACACTTGCATCACTTTTCTTGTTACAGCTATGTCACAAGAAGGCAGCAAAAAGGCCTAAAAAGTAAAAGCCAAAACTCCTTTAAAGCCAATACAAGTTCAAATCACAACAGAGACACATAAAATAGACATTTCAAATGCCTATCAATGATCCAGGCTTTCCTTTGAAGCCTGTAAATATACTATACGTTGTCGTTATGGTTGTTGACTGTTGTTGAGTCATGCATGACTCATAGCGACCCTATGAACAAAAGGCCTAAAGGCTTTCTTTAACTATGAACATTTATCGAAGTTCATAGAGTTTCCAGAGGCATGGGCTGTAAATATTTGTATACAACAGCATAAACTGAAGAAGAAAACAAAATAATCTCATAACTAATAGTAAGCAATGCATTCTAGAAATCATTTCTATATTCTAAATTCCTATTTTTACGCAAAAATAATCAAAAAGCATGTAACTATAGATAAAGGAGTCCTGGTAGTAGAATAATTATGCATTCAACTATTAACTGAAAAGCTGGCAATTTCAAGCCACCAGTGGCTCCGTAGGAAAAAGACCTGGTGACCTGCTCCTGCAGTCCTTCTACTCTATCCTACATGATCTCTATAGCATAGAATACCCACAGTACAGTTAACTTTGCTATAAAAATGTTTTAATTGTAAGGTAACTCTTCCCCATAGTGTAAAAAATAGACTATAAGATATCAAATACAGAGCTGTCAGTGGTAAGCAACAGTGCACATCTCATAGCTGACCTTCCAGCAGGTTTTCAGGGGCAGTAAATCACATAGAAGGAGACTGTCCATCTTTATCCCACAGAGCAACTAGTGGATTCAAACCAAATGCTTTTGGGTGAGCAGTGCAATTCTTTATCACTAAGCCATCAGAGCTCTCTGAGTATTTCTTAAGGAATATTCCTCTGTAAAAGATGAACATCTAGAACAGGTACTATACCACATACTTCAATACTGAGCTGAAAATTTTATCATACAAATAATGATTTAAGGGGCTTAGAACACCTGAGATACTTTACATAGTTACAAAATTAGTAACAAATTCTGGTCTTTATATTAAGAGTCAGGAATTTGTTGTAATACCATTCTTAAGGCTCATGCCAAAAAGTACAGTTACAGAATAATGGATAAATTCAAATATTGTGGGATATGCCTCAACAAAGATTATCAAAGACAAAGAAAATAAGACAATGCAAAAATATCTCATTCCAGTATTTCTCTTGAATTTCATTATACTAATTTTTACATGTTAAATTTTACAACAAACATCCATATAACCTGCCATTACCATTTTTCCAGGTTTTATTAACGTACCTACCTATGAGAAGGACCTCATGCACTTACTGCAGAGGGTCAAGGACTGCAGCCTTCAGTATGGACTGAGGCTCAATGTTAAGAAGACAAAGATTCTCACCACTGAACCAATCAGTAGCATCAGGATGGATGGCGAAGAGATTGAGATTGTTCACAGCTTCAGTTTGCTTGGCTCAACAGTCAATACTCTTCCCACCAGCAGCCAGGAAATCAAAACACGTATTGCGATGGGAAAGTCTGCTGTTAGAGACCTCTCTAAAGTACTCAAGAGCAACAGTGCCACTCTGGAGACTAAGGTGTGCCTGATACAGGCCATGGTTTTTGCAATCACTTGTTATGCATCAGAGAGTTAGACAATGACTAGGGAGGATAGAAGGAGAATTGACGCCTTTGAGCTGTGGTGCTGGAGAAGAGTATTGAATGTACCATGGACTGACAAGAAAACAAACAAATTCATCCTAGAGAGGGTTAAACCAGGCTACTCCTTGGAGGCAAGGATTCTGCGGCTCCGTCTGACATACTTTGGACATGTTGTAAAGAAAGACAGGTCTTTAGAGAGGGACATCATGCTGGGTAGAGTAGAGGGACAGCGCAGGAGAGGAAGACCCTCTATGAGGTGGATTAATTCAGTGACTGGGGTAATCGGGATGGGTGTGTCAGAGGCAATGTGACTGGCACAGGATAGAGCAGGGTTTCGGGCTGTTGTACATAAGGTCGCTATGAGTCGCAAACAACATGACGGCACATAACAACAACAATAACAACAACCACAACCACCTACCTATCAATCCACAACTGTATCTTATCCACCCTGCAAACCATTTGAGATTTCCATATATATATATTGTATTTTGCTTGGTAGTATCTTTAGACTCTATACAACTTTCTTCATACTTCCCTCCTTTTTGTTTTTTTAAAAAAAATTCTTAGTATCTTCAAATTTTCTGAATTCCTTTTTTGTCAGCTCATCAAGGACTCTAGGGCTCTGGGAATGCCACCCTTAGGTTGGTCTTTGTTTCTTTATAGGTGTTTAGAAATAGCTTCGATCTCACTTATCTTTGTAATATGTTACAGAAATGTGAGGGCATTAATAGGAAGAACACTCCCAAATACAGAATTTTTCAAATTCCTTGATTCTTCTTTGCTGATGATAATAAGATTTTTGTTTCCTGCCTCTGACTCTGCTCAATCTAAACATGAAGTAATGGAAAATTTGCCATTCTCTTTGATAATGTTCTACATATCTTATTTACAAAGTCCAAATCATTTGCTATTTACCTTACTCATTATTTATATTATTAGCAAGCCATCCAATCCAATTGGTGGATCACAAACACATCTGGTGGCCTACTGGTAAGAAACTTCACTGCAACTCCGAAGGCACATGGTTCAAATCCACCAGCTACTCCATGAGAGATGGAAGGGCAGACTCCCCCCATGTGATTAACAAACTCTGAAAATCTGCTGGAGGATCATCTATGAGTTGGTTCTCACTCAACGGTACTCAACACTAACAACTCTTGTCATATGGTGAATATCAAAGCTAACGGCTAGAAAAGCCACACTGAATAATTCATCATAGCACAAGAGTGTTCTTTTTCATTAACTTTCTTCTTTACCAAGTATAATGAATAGTTCCTCCTGATAACATGTCCAAAGTTCAAGATGCCAAGTAACACTTTAATTTTTAAGGAATATTTAGTTTGTTTTTCTGGTAGTTCACGGTATATTCAGCATTCTTCATCATCACCATCATTCAAATGTATCAATTCTTCTTTGGTCTTCTTTATTCATTGTCCAGTATTCACACATATATGATGAAATGGAAAATACCAGTACCTTAGTACTGCCATCTTTGCTTTTAATGCTTTTTTTTAAAAAGGGGGGGGGGTTGCAGTAGTTTGCCCAGTATAGTATGTGACTTGATTTTCTGACCACTGCTTCCATGAGAGGTGACTGAATCCAAGTGAAATGAAATCCTTAATAACTTCAATATTTTCTCTGCTTATCATGATGCTGGTTATGGTTCCAGTTATATTTTGTCTTCTTCCAAATGAAGCATAATCCACACTGATCTTCATCAGTTAACATTTCAAGTAAATTCATCCTTTTTAGCACTTGCATATATCAACTATATCAACTGCATATCACGGGTTGTTAATGAGTCTTGTTATGTGCTGATGAGTCAGTTAAAAGTCATAACTGACCCTTCAAAGTGTTTTCAAAGGTAGTAAATAGCCCAAAAGGAAATCACCCTCTCTGATATATTTGAACCATGAGCCATTGTTGACAATGCAGTTCCTTATTAATTGGTCCCCAGAACTCCTTTCAGATAGTCTAGCTACTCTAATTATTTGCATAACATACAACTTGATTAAGAATGGAGAAAAGATACAGGTTTAAAGCTGAGCTTTCCTTATTTTAAACAAGACCTTTTCCCGTTGTTCTGTACAAGGTTTCTTTCTTGGCATGTACAGGTTCCACATAAGCACAATTAAGTATTCTAGAATTCCCATCCTCTGCAATGCTATCCATAATTTGTGATGATTTATACAGTCATACCTTTCATAATCAATAAAACACAGGTAAACAATCAAAATTCATCTTTGTTCCACAGACTCGTCTTAATTCAGGTTGAATTTCTGCAAGTTCTTTGTCAGCATATTATTCTAAATGTCTTTAAATTATATTCAATAATATTTTACTTGTGTGATCTTGGCTGAAAGCAGAAAGTATCAGAGGAATGTTTAGCTGTGTTTCATTGACTATGCAAAGGCATTTGACTGTGTGGATCACAACAAAATGTGGATAACCCTGAGAAGAATGGGAATCTTCTTGGAACAGGAGGTAGTTGTCGGAACAGAGTAAGTAAACTCTGCATGGTTCAAAATAGGGAAGGATGTATGCCAAGGATGTGTCTTATCTCCATAATTTTTAATCTATATGCAGAACAGATCAAAAGGGAGGCTGGGCTCTATGAGGAGACATGTGGCATCAAGACTGGAGGAAGACTCATCAACAATCTGCATTATGCAGATGACACAACCTTGCTTGCTGAAACTGAGGAGGACCTGAAGCACTTGCTAGAGAAGGTCAAGGACTGCAGCCTTCAATATGGATTGAAGCTCAATGTTAAAAAAAACCAAAGATTCTCACCACTGGGAAATTGCCTGCATCATGATAGACAGTAAAACGATTGAGATTGTTAACAGCTTTAGTCTTCTTGGCTCCACAATCAACACTTTTGGTACCAGCAGCCAGGATATCAAAAGACAAATTGCACTGAGAAAGTCTGTTGTCAGGGACTTCTCCATAGTACTGAAGAACAACGATGTCAATATGGAGACTAAGGTGTGCCTGATCTAGGCTATGGTCTTTGCAATTATGAGCAATGCATCAGAAATCTGGGCAATGACTAGGGATGATAGAAGAATTGATGCCTGTGAACTGTGGTGTTAAAGTACAAAACATACCATGGACTGCTAGGAAAACAAACAGGTTCGAGAGGGTAAAACCAGGCTGCTCCTTGGAGGCAAGGATTCTGAAGCTCCATCTGACATACTATGGGCATGTTGCAAGGAGGTATCAGTCCTTAGAGAGGGACATTATGTTTGGGAGGATAGAAGGACAGTGCAAGAGAGGAAGACCCTGAATGAGATGGATTGACTCAGTAACTGGTGTAACGGGGGGTAAGTGTCAGAGACAATAAGGTTGGCTCAGGCTAGAGCAGGGTTCAGAGCTGTTGTACACAGGGTTTATCAGTTCCAGATGACTTGATGACACATAACAACAACAGTACTAATAAGGGAGCTCTGATGAGCTAGTGGTAAGAAACTGTGATGCAATCCCTAAGGCACACAGTTCAAATCCACCAACTGTTCCATAAAAGAAAGATGGACTATCTCCTCCATTATGTTTAAATGCCTCTGTAAACCCACTGGAGAGTCAGCTATGGGTCAGATACGACTCGAAGGACTCCAGCCACAACAGTAATAATTATTTTGTTCTCTAATCTCATTTCTGTTAGATCACCTTACCATGCAATACAAATTTCTGTGGAATATGGGTTCGAATATGGATCTCTTCCAATCACTTACTCAGGCAGCACTCCTACAAGTTTCCTGGCACAGACAAGTAAGTACTTCCAATATTGTATCCATTTGTCGAAACATTCCAATTAATTGTCCATCAATTCCTCGTGCATATTTTTCAACAATGCATTCAGTGAAGCTTAAGCTTCTGCCTTCAATTTTTGTTCATAGGCTAACTCCTGAAGAGGTTGAACACTGACCAGTTCTTTTTGGTATAATCACTCTGTTTGCTGGTGTTAGGTGTCACTGAATTGCGTATGACCCATAGTGACCCAATGAACAACAGATCTGAATCCCGTCCTATCCTGTACCCCATATCCTATGCCATCTTTACAATCTCTAACACACTCAAGCCCATTGAGGCAATCACTGTGTCAGTCCATCTAGTTAAGAGTCTTCCTTTTTTGTTGCCATCCCTCCTACTTCTCAAGCATAATGTCCCTCTCCAAAGAACAGTCTTTCCTAGAAATATGCCCAAAGCATGTAAGACTAAGCTTTATTATCTTCACCTTCAAGGAGAACTCTGCCTGCACCTTCTCTAAGAGATATTTGTTTGTTCTTTTGGCAGACCATAGGATATTTAGTACTACTCTCCAACATCACAACTCAAAGAAATAAATTATTCTTCTGTTTTCCTTATTCACGTCCAGCTCTTAGATGCATAGCAAGTGACTGAAAAGACTACTAATGTTTGTGTTTTTTAATACTCTCCCTCTAGAATTCTTTAATGTTTCAACTTGAAGCTTGGATTTTTTTCTTCTTCAATTCTTTTGGCTTTATAAAATCCCACTGTATTCTTTTCTTAGATTTTTTAACTCCATGTTTCTGCACATTTTATTACAATACCTTTGTCTTCTTGAGCTGTCCTCTGAAATCTTAAAGCTCTTTTACAGCATCATTTCTTTCATTCACCTTAACTATTAAAGTTGTTTTGCTATCCATTTTAGTCTTCCTTTGCTATCTTTTCAATGACCTTTTACTTTATGTGTATTATCCTTGATATCATTCTAGTACTTATCTGGTCTTAAGCCTTTTGTGTTCAATAAATCAAATCAATTCTTAAGATAGTATCGAAATTCAGGTGACCCATACTCAAGGTTATACTTTGGCTCTCCTGGATTTGTTTTAATTACTTCAGCTTCAATTGGTACTTGCATATGAGCAAAGAGAATTACAGGGATAATTTTTCAGTTCTGTAATATAGTTTAATTCTTTTCTTTTTCCTTTTTTTTTTTTAGTGCTATCATAAAAAGAACAAAGATAAAAACTCTTTCATTTCATAAACTCACAGTACATGTGCAAATACTAACCTGGCGAAACACTTCATTTACAAAATTGATGTAACCTCTTGTGGACAAAAGAATTCGCTGCACCATTTCATATACTGTTTGATATTCTTCTTCAATGCTACAAAGGCTGGAGCTACTGAGTCTTCGATCTGACAAGGTGCTCCTGTTAGAATGTTCTTTGTCCTGCTCTGTGGGTATGTCACCATCTGTCTCAGGCAGTTTCTCTAGCAATGCACTACCACCAACAGACTGCAAGACAAGTTATCATCAGTTGAGTCAACTCACAAGGACATCTGGCAAAATTAAAGAGAGTTTATTTTTCAAAAAATAATTTGTTTACACTGAGTTTCATTCAAGCACACTACTTTATACAATCTTTCATTTACACTGTATTTCACACAATCATTCATAGGTATTTTATTTTATATAATTAATTACTATAGATCTATGCCTATTATAACCCTGTCTTTTTGAGTCTCCACTATTCCTTCAACCCCTTCCATTCACCCACGAACCTCTGCTATCCAATGATTCCCAAGATGGCTTATTTTAAAGAACAATGGTAACTCTTAACTTGCACACTGAAAGCAGGCTGAGGCAGCACTGTCTAAAGCATAACATTACCTGTACTTTACCAATTTTTTAACTCAATCTAACCCATGGTCAACTTGGTTATTTTAATAGGGAAATTACTAAGTTATCAGGATCCAGAACTCAAGGCCATTAGGTAAAATTTGAATCACTGCAACCCAAGAGAAAATTTTCAAGGGTTCTGACACTCCAGCTTTCAATATAGTTTATATCTCAATATTAAGAAGACAAATATTCTCAATAGTGAGCCAATAGGCATCATCATGATAGATGGAGGAAAGAATGAAGTTGTAAGTGGTCTCATCTTACTCATCACAATCAACACCCTTGGTACCAGGAATCAAGAAATCAAAATGCAACCTAAGTGCCCATCAACAAACGAATGGATAGAGAAGCTGTGGTATATTCACACAATGGAATACTATGCTGCATTGAAAAACAAGGAACTCA